GGACGATGAAGAAGCCCATAAATGATGTAGCATCACATCCCACCGAGTGAACGGGGATTAGAGATGGGTTCTGAGCAGATGATGGAGATGGGGAGTGGGTAAATAAAAATATCAAAGGCTAACTGACCGACCGCCCACGCATGATTAAAAACCTGATATTGGGATGCCTAAAGGGGAGTGGCAGGAAGGGTCGAGCAGAGGAGTAGAGGAGTGCACCTTTCAAGTTGAGTAAATGAGCATTGAAGCGTTCAAGATTATCAATATGCATGAATGGGCGATGGGAGAGGGAGATCAAATTGTAGTTAAGTTCGAGTGGACACAGAAACCAGGAACTGGCGCTGTTTGGGGGCTGCTGTTCTGATTTGGGTTCTCCATCTGTGTGATTAAGTGAGGGAATTGCTGGCCCGTTACTTTTCCATATTTAAATGAAGTATTTACCCGCTCGTTTGAGCAGAGCCACAAGAGATACGTATACGTATACGTAGATACTTACGTATCTTTTTCCGCATGTGCATACTTGAGTTACTTTCCGCCTGGAGAGCCACTCAATTGAACGGGCTCCAGCCGCTGTAATGTAATTAGCCTCTGGCCCCATTGCCTGCCATGGCAACCCACTGCCAGAGCCGCGTCTGCATGCGATCCAATCCTTCGGCGGGGTCTTAAAGTGTCACTCCATTGATATCGGCTCATCTTTTCCATATGTGTATGTATGTATGTATGTATGTATGTATGTGGCATACATCCAACTTTTCACACCTGTCCATTATCCCATGCCACTTGGCAGAAAATTTGATAACCACAGAAACATGCAAAAAGCATTTCAACTTTTGCCTAGCCAGGTAATTCGGCAAATAGGTAAAATACTTACCAAATGCTCGTCGCACAGAACAAATAAGGGAGAGCGGGAGAAACACTCGACGACTATACATCGCACTCTCTACTGTCATTTACATGGAAAACTTTTCCATGTCGAATCTTTTCCGACAACCGACAAAACTTTTCCAAGTTTTACGATGCCGTTGCCGTTGCCGCTGCCGCTGCCATTGCTGGATGTGCATAGATGGAAATTATTAAAGTGGCCAAAGGGACTGCTCTGGGCAGAGCAGGGCAGGGCAGGGCATCCCATTATGATTTATTCATTTCAATTGACCTGCTGCCAAGCCAAATCCGATTATGCGATTAGTTGAATTGGTATTTTGTGTGGGTGAAAATGTGGGGAAACACATTCAAAAATTTTCATTTTGTGGCAATTAAAGGCATTAAATGCGTAATTAGAGCATCGTTTTTATCCACTACAATTATAATGGCGGACAGACATAGAAAAATGGGACAATAAAATGGCTGCCAAAACATTTTCCAATGGGATGGCATCAATCAGCAAGCAGCAGGAGCAGCGGCAATTATCGATTGAATGCGGTTCCGTTCTCTGGCTCTAATTGCTAATGAGAATGTGGCTTAAAAAATGCAATTCAATTCAATGCAATGCGATGCGGATACGATTCGTTTCCTTTCCTTTCCGTTTCGTTTCGTTTGGTTCCGTTCAATTTTGCATTTTGCATTTGCTAGCACAAACATTTCACATTTTCACATTCGGTCAGTGCAAATGATTGCGCTTGATTGGACCGGCAACAAACTGCGGCATCTGTGGCAAGCACTCAAGAATCTCTATCTCTATCTCTGCTGCCTCTCTGCCGTCTATGCCGCCCGGAACTAGGACAGTTTTTGGTCAGTTGCCAGCAATTAAACGCATTGTACGGCATTTCAACTTGATTTGATTTCCATTTTGCACGCCCATAAGCGGCAATTCGAAAGGAAATTATTGCTAGTTGCTAGAAGTCCCATCGACTCGGCAGATGCCTCACCGCAGTAAAAGGTCTGCAAAAGCTTTACCTGCCCCGTTCATATACCCCGCAATCGTGCGAGGAATCATTGGAAATCGATGGGACAAATATATCGCAACTTGTCAGAAGATATTTAAATGTATATCAAATGTCTAAATCGAGTGAATATTACACAAAAATAAATTAGTTCCTCTCTTTATCTCTCTCTAACAACTGACTTTCCCTACTGGTAATGGATGGATTACCAGGTATCTCTTTGTCGATACTCTCTCGACTCTAACGTTCTTCATTGTTGAGTGCTGTGCTCGTAAAAGAAAGCCACACTGCAGAGAGCCCAGCAGGAAGTGTTGTAATTCGCACTTTGCCACACACACACACACACACACACACACAGCACACAACAGCACACACCAGCACACTGCGGCTATCATTTCGTATACTTGATATCTAAGGGGAAGAGGATGTGGTTGTGGATGAGGATGATATCTACGCACAACATTCTGCTGTGTTAGCCTGGGTTTTAATTGTGGTTGCTGTTGTTGTCTGTTGGCTCATAGCTGAAAAATATGTATATGCAGGATATGAAACGGTTTATGTGGCATTATGGCCCCCAGAAAGTCCCACCCTGTCCCATCCCTTTTTTGTGTAGGGACTTTACGACAAGCCACTTCCCCAGTACCATGCCCCGACCCCCCGCCTGCTCCCGAATGCTAGTTATGTATGTATTCTGGCAAAAATATTCGTCTGCAATTAAAAACATTTTCAAGTCGTTTATTCTCGCCCGAGAGAGAGAGAGAGAGAGGTGCGACTGGCGGGGGGGAAATCTGTGGGCTTTTTGTGCTGGCAATTGCTGACCAATTTTGTGGATTTGGTTTTATGCATTTATTGGAATTTTTATGGCCTACTTTTATGGCCTGCCTACGTAGGGGGAGGACGAGGAGTCATTGGGGCCAGAGATCCCAAATTGGTTTATGAATATTAAAAAAGAGGGGATTCGGGGGGATAAATGAATATAGTTAATACTGAGATTAGTCCGGGATATAGAAATTCAGTTAATTGAAGCAGAAATTCATGTGGATAGCCGCCCCAACCCTTTCCAGCTGAATGTGCCAGGGAAAATCAATTAAAAGCAAATGCTGGGCCCTCAATAAATAAAGCCCCCAAGAGCCAACCAAGGCCAAAAACCCAATCTAAGCCCCAAACATTTAGTTTAGTTCGAAACACTTTGCCTATGAAAACTAATCGAATTTGTGTGTAAAGTCAAAATGAAATCCTCTTTGCTCTCAAGCCAATTCCGGGCCACCCTGCCCATTTCTCGATTCCTGGAAAGCAGCAGCAGCAGCAGCAGCAACAATTTCAAATTAATTAATAAAATTTTTGCTTTTCAAACAAACAACAAACTGCAAATAGAGACCCTGAGAAAAGTCTTGGCCCCCCGTACGGAATTTTGGTCAAGAAGTTGCGTGTGCCATGACGGCATGGAACGGCACGGCACGTGTGTGTGTTATGTCCGTCACTGAGATCTCCAGCCAACCCTCCACCCACAAAGCCTGGCTGGTAAGACATGCCAGTAGACTGGTTGAAAGCCAAACCAAATAGCAAATACTTCAATAAACGAAATTAAATATTTGTGCATGGAATGAAACATTTTGGCTCGGGCGAGGGCGATATATATATATACATATATATATAGGGCGGCATAGACGCCGAGAGAAATTGAAAAAGAATCGTACATTTTATGCCTCGAATCGACAACAAATTAAATAATTGCTGCAAAAAGTTTGCCATCTGCAAATATTTCAGCACAGTCAACGCAAATCAAATACATACTATTGATTTTCCAATGCTTTTTCCATTGCATTATTGTCTGAATTTTTGGCCAAACATTGGCTTTTTGGTAATTTGCAAGGCATTTTTATATTAGCCTGCGGTATTAGCCTTGTTGTGTTTATAATTCACACACTCTCTTCCCGCTTCCCACTTTCCCACTTGCCACTGTCCGTTTTCATTTGTCAAATATTTTGTTTGGAAATTTTTGTTTAACTTTTGACCCCCACCAACTTGAAACTCTTTCCTCACTCAAATGCTCGACGCTCATTAGATGTTAATTGGGCAATTGTAAGCATCTCTGAGGTTCTGGCCAAGGCCCCGCCTCGGGCCCAGAGCCAACACCTTATTGATGTCTGCCCCATGGCAGGAGGCGGCAGCAAGCAGCGGCTGCTCGGCGTTGAATCAAACTAATTAGGCGCAAACTTAATTAATATTTGATGAATTATTTGACCTTTTGTCTGATTACCATGGCGGCTCGAAAGAAGAGCAAAAAGTACCGCCGAGTACCCAAGTCGCACAACCTCTGGAAGTGGCCCTCGACATTGGCCCTGACAACCAACCGACCGACCGACAGACCGACCGACAGACCCAAAAAGACAGACAAATAAAGAAAAACTTTTTAAGGATTTCTCTAAAATTGTGCTTCATTTGGCTGAGAGCAGTGGCTATGATAAGCTTGTCGCTAGGCAGGTTGGGGGACTGGGCTGGGCTGGGCTGGCCACCAAACCAAAAGGACACAAAATTATGGCTATGGGTGGGGGGAGTGCGGCACGCGGCATGGTGTGGTGCAATTCAAATCATAAAACGGTAAGGTGAGACGAGGCGCAAAAGTTTTTTCTAATGTTTATTGGTGAAACTTTTTCACTTTTTTTTACAACTTTTGGAAAAAGTTTTCCTCGTAATTCTCTCTGTCTGTCGCGACGCGTCGCCCTGTTGTTGCCTAGGCCCTGGCCTGCTGGTCATTTTAAAGTTTAAATTATACCAAGAGCTAGATAGAGATAGAAAGAATGGTCTGAGTGCCTGCAATCCAGAGATTGTCAGCACATTAGGCCTAAATGGAAGGAGAAGCCTTACTTCGAATTAAACTTTTATCGCATCAATTCTGAGAGACTTTTTACCGTGTTGCTGCTGCCGTTGCCGTTGCCCTGGCAAAGTTTCATTGTTGGCGCATTTCAGATATTAATTCGTTTATTTAAATTTGCCCAACTCCGACTTCGAGTCCGAGTCCGAGTCACAGATAACGCACACCACACTTACCTGAAAGAAAGAAGAGAGAATAAAAAATTAATGAAAATTACTTGGCTATTCATAAGGATCATCATAGAGCCCCATATCCCAAAAGTCTAGCTTCGCATTGTTGTCAGTTGAAAACAAATTGTGCACCCAAAATGATTTCAATATCTGCTATTGCTTTGGTCGTGTACAATATATTCCTGTATTCGGTGGCCTGGGATATCAAACGAATTGAAGAAGGTAAGTGCCATATTGGATGCTCAATGGCGGCAGCTCTGAAACTTGCCACTCATTTCCAGATCCGCCCAACACTCAGCGCAGCCTCTTGCATGTCATACCGGTCGTGGGGAAATGGATCGCTCCCGAGCAGCCACTGCTGAAATGGTTGATGGACGTGCCATTCAGCGAGTTCGGCGACAGGTTTTGGAGCATAAATGTTGGACTAAACACACTGCTACTGCTACCGGCTGTTCTCCAGGTACGATCTTCACAGATCTATGCTTGGAATGTCATTCTAAGAGTCCCTACCCCATCTACAGCAAAGAGTATTCAGGCACATCACAATGATAGTGGCAGGGATCATTACATGGAATTTGTTCGTCTTTCAGCGTGTCTTGGTGTACTACTTGATAGTCGCTTGGGCACTCTGGCAGGGACAGGTGGACCACAATGTCTTAAAGTTTATCTTTGGCGGCCTGTGTATGAGCGCCCTTCACTTGGCTCTCATCTGTATGTCTATAAGGTTCTTTGTGGAAGAAGAAATCTGCAGCAAGTCCCCTGCCTGCCCTGTGATCACTCGCAGTTCATGGCGCCTTTAAGTGGATTGGATGCCGTGCCCCCATCCGACATCCGACATCCGTCACCGGCTTAGCCTTGCCACAACTACAAATACTGGGCCATTGGTTCAACTAATAAATATCCCAGAGAACAGAACACACACACAGAGGTATCCCCAGCTCAGATACAGATACACAGACACGCGCACGAACATGAACAAATGAATCGCAGCTGAGCTGAGCTGCTGGCCAGTCTGGGTCAGAGGGGAGCTGGGGCTGGGCAATGGGGAAATAAAACCATTAAATATTTGCGGTTAAACGCACCAAAAACAAACCGCAAAAGTAAATCATATCCAGAGTAGACATCGGACATGCCAAGGAATTTCCTTTGCTCTACTCTGGTACGCAAAAATATTAGATTAGAAATTAGGATAGCCAAGGACATGGACAAGGATTTGGGGATGGGCATGGGCATGGGCAGGCAACAGACCAGAACGCCATTTACTTGAGGATGATGTGGGTGTGTGTGTGTGTGTGTGTGTGAGGGGAGGTGGATGGAAACACGAGCAGGAAACCAGTTACCCAACAGCCTGCCAAAAATTCCAAATGGTCCATGGGCGAGATGCATAAATCATTGGAGCTGACATTTCACCATTTCACTGGATTTGGATTTGTATATATGCTAAAGGTTGCCCAAAGAAACCCAGAATCGGGTCTGCTGCAAGGGCTGTCCGCAGGGTGAGGGGCGAGACATTTACTTAAGAGATTTGTCGATTTCCTCAGAACAGAACAGAAACTATGGGGGGACTACAGGGCACTGCTCTCCGCTCTCTCGTGTGAAGAACTAGTTCTCTGATCGGCTCCGCACTGCTCCATCCCCAGTCAACCGCATGCCGGGTTCATAAAAACTTACCCACATAAATCATTTTGCAATTGAATGCGAACGACGCTGACGGACGTCCGACCAAAGTGGAGGAGGACGCGGAACTCGACTCGAATTGACTCGTGTCTGTGCCTGTGCCTGGGCCTGGGCCTATGACTGTGCACCGTAACTAAAAGTCAGTCGCCAGCAGCAGATGGCGTGGCATTCGGATTTAGTTTTAGCACACACGGATTGGCTGTGATTGCTGGGTCTACCATCCTGCTCGTAAGTGGGTCAGTCGACCGCTAATTGAGTTAAATGCTGCACTAAAAGCCCCTGCATGCGTTCGGGCAACATGTGTGTGTGTCAACGCAGGTGATTCAAACCTCAACCAAAACCCTTTCAATAAGCCGCCGCTCAAATTTTCAGATTTTTTATAATTTTTGGGGGCAGTGTTGGCTAACGAAGCAGTTCAGACGAGACATTCGTAAAGAGTTGGCAGGTCTGATGTGTCAGCTGTTTTGTCAGCTGTTTTTTGTATTTGTTTCTAGTTTGTTTTGTGCTTTTCTGTAAATCCTAACACAAAATGTCGCTGTTTAAACTACTTCGCATCTCTGGCCCCAGCCGCTTTAGCGCGCGATCAGCCGCGTATGTGGGCAAAGCCAAGTACGACTACGATCTGGTGGTGCTGGGCGGCGGCTCTGCGGGACTGGCCTGTGCCAAGGAGGCCGTGGACAGTGGCGCCCGTGTGCTCTGCTTCGACTACGTGAAGCCCACGCCCGCGGGCACCAGGTGGGGCCTGGGCGGCACCTGCGTGAATGTGGGCTGCATTCCCAAGAAACTGATGCACCAGGCCTCGCTGCTGGGCGAGGCGGTGCACGAGGCGGTGGCCTACGGCTGGAACGTTAACGATCAGAACATAAAGCCCGACTGGAAGAAGCTGGTCAAGAGCGTGCAGAACCACATCAAGTCCGTTAATTGGGTGACGCGCGTGGACCTGCGCGACAAGAAGGTGGAGTACGTCAACTCCATGGGCGCCTTTGTCGATCCGCACACCATCGAGTACTCCGTCAAGGGCGGCGGCCCCAAGCAGCAGGTCACCTCCGAGTATATTGTGGTGGCCGTGGGCGGACGTCCGCGGTATCCCCCCATTTTGGGCGCCACCGAGTTCGGCATCACCAGCGACGACATCTTCAGCTACGAAGAGGAGCCCGGCCGCACCCTCGTGGTGGGTGCTGGCTATGTGGGTCTGGAGTGCGCCTGCTTCCTCAAGGGCCTCGGCTACGATCCCACGGTGATGGTGCGCTCGATAGTGCTGCGCGGCTTCGACCGTCAGATGTCCGACCTGCTGGAGGCCATGATGTCCGAGCGCGGCGTCCACTTTCTCCACACAACGATCCCCAGCTCGGTGGAGCGCCAGGGCGACGGGCGACTGCTGGTCAAGTACCGCAACACGACGACGGAGCAGGAGGACAGCGACATCTTCGACACCGTTCTGTGGGCCATTGGGCGCAAGGGTCTGATCGAGGACCTCAATCTGCCCGCAGCCGGCGTGCAGACCAAAAACGACAAGATCGTGGTGGATGGCACTGAGGCCACCAACGTGCCCCACATCTTTGCCGTGGGCGACATCATCCACGGCCGTCCGGAGCTCACCCCGGTGGCCATTCTGTCCGGCCGCCTGCTGGCCCGCCGCCTCTTTGCCGGCTCCAAGCAGCTGATGGACTACGCCGATGTGGCCACCACCGTGTTCACGCCGCTGGAGTACTCCTGCGTGGGTATGTCCGAGGAGATGGCCATACAGACGCACGGCCAGGACAACATCGAGGTTTTCCACGGCTACTACAAGCCCACCGAGTTCTTCATTCCACAGAAGAGCGTGCGCCAGTGCTACCTCAAGGCTGTGGCCGAGATCACCGGCGACCAGAAGATCCTCGGGCTGCACTACATTGGACCCGTGGCGGGCGAGGTCATCCAGGGCTTTGCAGCGGCCCTCAAGTCGGGGCTCACTGTCAAGACCCTGCTGAATACGGTGGGCATTCACCCGACCACCGCCGAGGAGTTTACACGCCTGTCGATCACCAAGCGCTCGGGTCGGGATCCCACGCCATCCTCCTGCTGCAGTTAGTTCGGGAATGCCCCAAAGTGTTGCACAAAGAGTTGAATAAAGAAGTCAAAAAAAAGTCTCTGGCCCTCCCTGCCACCACATCATTACACATGGCTGGCTGTCAGGGCCTGTGCGGAGTCAGAGTGCGTGCACGCCCTTGGGGCACTGGGTGCTGGCCATGTCAATGGAACACATGCTCTGCTTTGGCTCCGGTCAGGACCCGCCACACAAAAAGCGGACTCAAAGTGACAATTTTGCGCAAAACGAAGACTAATTGTCTGGCACTTGACTGGCACACTTCACGCACTGCTTGAGGAGGCACCCACAAGGCACCCAGGGGCCAGGATCCAGAGAACCAGAACTGCTCTCTCTCTCTCTGTCTCTCTCTGTGTCTGATGGACAGCAGCCAAAACACACGTTCTGCTGATTTGACACTTCAATATAAATGACACCCCGGAAAAGTGGAAAAAGCTGGAGTCGGGTGGTGGGCATGGCTGGCAATTCTCAGGGCGTTTGCATTTTTGACATATGAAGTTTTAATTTATGAAGTTCTGCCAGAAAAACAAAAAGCAGTTCTGTGCTACTTTTGGAGGTGGTCTCCATATCCGGATTCGTATCTTTGACCCAGAATGGCGCCACACACAAACACACACACACGCACACACACCGGAAAACACTTTCCATGGCCTGCTCGTGGCATGCAACAACAACAGCACAAGGGATCTCTCACTATGGAAAAAAATTTTGATTAATGTTTACTTCCGATTTGCATAAATCTTGCTTTAGCATTTTTTCTTTTTGTATTTTTTGGGCCAGTTTCGACTCGTCTCTCTTTCGGCCTTTTTCCTTGGCCCGTTGCTTTGTTATAAATTATTTTTTTATTGCAGCATCCAACGTCTCGTCGAAGGACGAAGCACCGTAGACCGTATGCTTGCCGGTTAAATTGTTTGCCTCGGCGTTATTTATTCGTTTGTTTGTGCCGGTCATCAGGAGTGGCCAGTGGCCAGCGTGTGTTCAGGTGGCCAGATGCTTCTCGCATCCAGGTCAAGGCGCCGTGTGGCAGTGCATTGCAGTACAGTCGCCGTCCCTGCTGTAGTTTCGCCAGCCATAACTTTTCGATTAGCTTTGCCAACTCATTTAACAAATGGTCTTTCTGGCTGACAGTAAGAAAATATAACAAATTCTAACCCCCGAGAAAAACGTAGAGAAGCGCTTGGCACTCGTGCTCGTAGTTTCCATTGCAACACCTTGGAATCATAAATTGTGACTTGACTGCCCCGAGATCTAGCTGAAACTGAAGCTGCTGCAGCTGCAGCTGGACAGGCAACCAACTGTAAAAGTGCACGGGCCAGTGAAAGTTTTGCTCCTCCGAAAAGTTGGGCTGTAAGTTAAAGCACCCGCGGGTAATTCGATAAAGCGTAAAATTTTGCACTTAAACTATTTTCATCTTCTGTTGCACCCCCAGCAGCCAGCAGCGAGCAGCCAGCAACCGGCAACCAGCACCATCGTTCTGGCATTTGGCAATTGCATTGTTGCTCCCATTATTGTTCTCCGGTTTTTCGGTTCTTGTCAGCTTGACCTGTTCCATGGAACAGAGGGCAGCTGGCGAAAAGTCTTGAATTACAATACACTGCAAGTGCGAAAAGTTTTCTCTCTGATTGCGTGTCCAAGTGGCTGGGCCAGAGCCAGGGCGAGGGCCAGAAGCCGTTGCTCACTGTGCGGCCAACTGCCACACGGCACTTGATTGAGTGCGAACTGGAACTGTAGCTGAGACATTGGCCAGTTAATCGGATGGGATATGGAAAACAAATCTCGCTTCGAGACAATGGCAGGGGGCAAGGAGCCTTCGGGCCACCACCTCGTTGGAGCACACAAATTGTGCTTACAAAATTGTGCAATCAGCGCCAGCACAAAAGCCCACGCTGCCCACGCTGTACCAATAGACTAAAGTAAATTAAGAATCTCATTTAAATTAATCCCCCATTGAGGGTACTTGCTTGGGCACTGGCCACTCCGCCACCCACACTTTATCGACTGGCGGTCAGTCCCTCTCCAGTCTCTGCTGTTGTCGTTCTCATCAACGCATTACAAACAATTGCACTTAAGGCACGCAGCCACAGCAGTTTGTGGTTTGTTGTTTGGTGGCATGGCACATACTGCCCCGTACTCGATATCGGGGAGTGGAGGGAAAGAAGAAGCAGAAGAAGCTTAAGTCTTGTTTAGCAATTTAGAATTTTTAAATCCTATTAAATTTTGCAATCACCAATCGATTTGTTTGCCTTGTCCAGGCAAGGGGCCAGGCCAGGCCAGAGACAGAGACCAGTCTGGCAGGTGGTGGTGGGTGCTCGGACTCGGACTCGAAAACGGACACGTTCTACACATTGGCCAAGTCAAAGGGCTTTCAATGATTCAATAGTTTAATTTCGAATTTCCATGCAAATAAACAAATATCCATTAGATATTCTGCAGAAGGGAGCAGACAGGATGGCACAGGAACAGAGTGAATGGCTTTCTATTTAGTTTAGTTATTAAATGTATCCATTTCCATTTGCCAAATTATACGAGTACCACAATTGTTGTTCCATCTGTCTGTTTGTCTGTCTGTCTGGCGCATTGCTGCTGCTCAGTGCTGTTTGCCATTGTTGGTTTCTGCTCAGTTATAACTTTATCTGCACTTCAAATGTATCTCCATCCGCAATCTGCATCTGCAATCTGTACGCCTCTTGCATATGTAATTACATAAAAGTTGGTAATGTGTTGATTATTTGATGTATTTATGTAATTTTGCAGGCTCTTCCTTCAATTGCAATTATTTAATTACATTTGCAACTTTAACGTGGCAGTAGCTGTGGCTGTGGCTGTGGCAGTGGCCATCTGTCTATTGTATTTTGCGGTCAGTTTGTCATTCTTCTTCTACGCAGATGGGGAAAAAAAAAACCCCAAAGCATCAAAGTCAAAGCGGAGTCATTTGCTGCTTGTGTTGATTGCATTACATTTCAGCTGCCAGCAGTTCTGGCTCTTTATCCGACAGACACTTGATGATAATTCTCGTATATGAAATTTTCATTCAATTAACAGAATAATTCAAATGAAAATTGCTTGTCGATTGCTGTGGACATTAATTGATTGCTTGCCAGCAGTTTCTTTACTTGGATTCGTTTTCCTGAGCAGATTTCCAAAGCCCCCCGCACTCTATGGCTTGGTCTATTAACGCATGGAAAACCACAAAAGTTGCCAGTTTTCTTTTCAAGTGCACTTCAACGGGTGTTTAAATCGTGTGTGTGCGTGTGTGTGTGCCGTAATTTAATTTCATAATAGCAATTGTACTTTTACTCCTCCCCCCCCCTGCCTCATCCTGCCACGCCACAAAGTTTGCTCGCATTCACAGAATGACAAAACGATGTGGTGGCCAGGAGGAATGTGGCAAGAACTCAACTAGCAGCGAGAGTGCGTTGCCAGGGATGGCTGCGTGACTGGGAGACAGAGTTATCGCTGGCTCGTGCTTGGGCAGGCTCCCATCTCTGGGCAGGATGCGAGCGTATTTATTTTGTGTTTTTTTTTTTAATGCCAAGGGCCGCCGCCAACAGGCGGGGCAAACAGGAGACAGGAGACAGATGGGGGGGAAGTATTTTCATTGTCTTGTTTGCCAGCGACGAGCGACGAGCTGCGAGAGTTGAGAGTCGCATATTTGACATTGGACTTGTGTGCGCTCTGATAGCGTGCCAGCCAAAACATCACAAATGGCTGGCAACTCTGGCAAGCCGGACGGCAAACGGCAAACACACACACACACACACAGACAGAGATACAATCGCGACACATAATTGCGAGTGTTTACTTTGTGTGTGTGTGGGTATGGTTGTGCGTTGATTTCTCTCTTCTTTTTTTCTTTTTTTTTTGTGTGTAAAGTCAACACACACGGCGTATGTGCAACGTGTGGTAAATACAACTGCCAGAGGCAGTGCACTGACAGCTGGAAAGAGAGAGAGAGAGAGAGAGACTCACACGTACTGGGTACAGGGTAAAGGGGAGAGATAGAGAGACACATCATTTATGCACAAACGTTGCCAACTTTGCTTACAACAAATGCTGCAACAAAGTTGCAAGTCGCGACTAGCGACTGCCTGCTGCCTGCTGGCTGCTGGCTGCTGCCTTTTGCCCAGCTCCCAGCTCCCTCAGTTCTGTGGAGTGGCAGAGATACGGATGCGGCAGCACACATGCGAACGAGTGCAACAATGCCACATGGAATGAATTCTAGAAACAAAAGTACAGACGCACAGACAAAAAGAATTCGCGTTTTAAGCATTTTCCAAAATTAAATTAAAAATGGCACCAACAAAACGTGAAAACCGCCAGATAAAGAAAGGAACCAAACGAAACGAAACGAAACGAAAAGAGCCAGCACACAGAGGGGAAAGCAGCGCCGGGATAGAGCAGAAAAATCCAACGGGGCAAGCCAGCAAACAACGAAAAAAAATAATAAAAACGGTTCAAAACGGGAATGGAAATGGAAAATCCAAGCCGCCTTTGAAGTTTTTCCCGATGCTTGAGCACTTTTAGTTCCTTTTGATTATTTGAAGAGGCGGCGGCGCGGGGCGGCGCTTGGCTTTCGTTTTGTTGGCGACAGTCCTGCAAGGAGCATCAGGAGGAGCATCAGGAGGATTGTCCGGGGCCTAGACAAAAGCCACAATAAAAGTTGCATTCTCAAGTTTGTTGGTTGGCAAAAGGTTTCAGCTGAAATATGGATACAACCATCAGCCGCTCCGAGATTTCCGATTAAAGCAATCTTAAGCTTTATCAATAATTCACATGCTCGTACTTCCCGGTGGCAGTCAGTCCCTTTCTTTGTGCAACACTTTATTGTGTGTGTGTGCAACACAAATGAATGCGAGGCAGAGAAATCGTATTGTTCTGGTTGGGGCACGCCTCACGGATTCAGTGGAAACTCATAATCAGCAGGTAACAATGCGAGTGGAGCAGAGCAGCTCTGGAGTTCTGCTCTAGAGAAATCCTATGACAAACGCCTGCCACTTGATGGCTGCCAGATGGCGCCACGCATTTCCAATTATTCTATATGTTTATCAATG